ATACATTACATCCAACAGATTGCTCAAAATACATTATCAATTCCATACAGGACAGGCAAGGTTTTGATAGGTGATAATAAACCCAAGTAGCCATTGATTCATGTGCAAAAGCATGCAGGCAACAGGTACAGCGGTAAAGGCAGCTAGAGGAGATGCTAATGTAGTGCTTGGAAGGGCCTGGAAACCTATGGCATCTGTGTGGTTTTGCCCTACTGAAGTGTGAATCTTAAGATTTTATATATATATATATGTGTGTGTGTGTGTGTGTGTGTGTGTGTGTATACACACACACACACACTTTTCTGTGCTGTATATTTTTAGATAATCAACACCTAGGATAGGACATGTAGTAAAGATTCCTTTCCCCCAAAGAAATGTAGATTCTTCAGAAAAGGGAAGAGAAATTCAACCCACTTATCATAGAATCTTTAGGGTTCTTCAAAACAGCAATCAATTTACACTCAGGATTTTCCACCCCATTCCTGAGAGAATAACCACATTATTCTATGTATGTATAGTAATAATAATAAACCCTTACTTGATCACTTTTTAACATCTGTCAAAGGTAAATCCTTGACTAGTTGATTTCTCTAATATAGCCATCTGGAGACCCACCCAAGAAACAGATCTAAGCCTTGACTTTGCATGGCAGGTCAGAAACAAACCCCATATACATACCTTCAGTGTGTCTGCCATTATTTACCTTGGTAAATAGTCTGGACATTAGACAAGGGAACCCAGCAAGTGGAAAGATCAATGAAATGAATCCCTTTATCTCTACATCTCAAAGACAAACTCTATAAAGCTTCATATCAAATACTTTGAGTTTGATTAAAAAGTACCACTTACATAGTGTATAGCAAACATCTTAATATCTTTACATCATATCCATTAGGAATTATAGATTTAGCACACTGATAAAAATTATAAAAAAATTAGCTCTCTCCTATCTTTACTCAAGCTTACTGTTTCTTATATTTTCAAAATGTTCATGGTGTCCAAACTCAGAATACAGAAGAATTAAAAATGAACTGGTTAACTCCCTGCAGTTGACAAAAATCTAAATCACAAAAACCATTCCCAAGTTTTGCGGATCAGTTGGCAGTGAAGGAGTCCATTGTTTTCACCTTGCATTCTTATTCTTTCAAGTTTATAAGTCTGACTTCTCATTAGCCACATCAATGAAACTTCTCCTTTCAATGAACTTGTATGGTTTCCCCTATGGTTCCATCCACAGCCCTTTCCTCATTCCACCTGTTTCTGCTGGGTCATCTTACACTTTGTTATGATTTCAATAATCACAGATACACCAGTGACTCCTGAATCTGTACTGATGAGGCTTCTTGCTTGAGTTCAAGACTTAGCTTACCAACTACCTATAACATATCACCTATTTCTACATCAAATGTAACATGTTGGAAGTAAACTCACCTTTAAAAAGTGTTCTTTTCTTTCCACCCTAAGCCTAATTCTTCTTCTATCTCCCTAAAGTTTTCATGGCACATATGGTGGTTTAAAAAGATGTTCAGGAATTATTTTCAAAGTCTTCTCTTTAAGAGATGGAGTTCAAAACTGGACTTAGTGACTTATTTATAAAAAGGAAAATATGGCACAAGGGACAGTGTTTGACCTCCAAGACAAGATGATAAAAGACCCTGTGGCTTCCTCCTTAGTCTTTCCATGGTACAGCTCACTCTGGGATAAGCCAGCTATCACTCAAGCAGATGTATGAAGAGGTACATGTACACTGCAGCCAGCCACCAATGAGAAACCAAGGCCTTCCACCTACCCCACATACATGAACCTTCTTGGAAGTATATGCATGCTCCAAGTCCACTTGAGTCTTCACCTGACTAAGCCCCAGTCAACAGCTTGACTGCAACTCACGAGAGGATTTGAGCCAGAGGCACCCAGCTAAGTTGCACCTGGACTCCTAACTTGCAAAACAAAGAAAACCAATTCTTGTTATATCAAGTAACTAAGTTTTGGTTAACTTATTACTCACAAAATAGGTTACAGATAACCAAAATAACATCCAAACCAAAAATCCAAGGGGAAGAAATGATTAAAAGAAATGGATATTTTAACTGAACTTTCTTCCCATTCTAACCACACTTCTCCTATTTTCACAATGAACAACACCATTATTTACCTAGCTTTCTACATGAGAAACCTAGAAGCCATACTCCACTAATCCTACCCACCATATCAACAAGTTGTCATTTTTTATCTTATATATTGCTCAAGCTCACTCCCACTTTTACTGCTTTAATTCTGGCTGTTTTCAATTACTGTAACACAGCATCCTAACTTCTATTTTAGTGTTTTTCAGTTTCATTTTCAACACATACTGTTATTTATTAAACTTTACTACTAGTTTTCACAATGCATAGGAAAAAATACAAATGTCTTGCATAGCATATCTGTCCCTTTCCTATCATTTTCTTTTTCACCTCCCACATCCATAGCCTACAATCTGGCCAGTTTTCACCTTTGCATAACCTGCATTCTTTGTGGAAAATATTTCATTCTTCCTTTATAACTCCCACTCTTTTTTTTTTTTTTTTTTAAACCTCAGCTTAAGTTTTATCTCATAAAATCTTCCTTATTTATCAGAACCTGGTTAGGTGACTTTTTTTTTCCTTTCTTTTTTTGATGGTGCTGGAGATAGAACCCAGTGCCTTGTGCATGCAAGGCAAGCACTCTACCAATTGAGCTATAGCCCCAGGCCTGACTTTCTTACTTACTTCATCAGAGCCCTTATCACATAGATAAGTAATGTGCTCTCCACTAAAATGTGAGCTTCAGAGGAAAAAAAAAACTATCCTTGGTGTGTGTATTCATTCATTGAAGACTCCAACTTGTTAACTTATTGAGTGACTACATGACAGGCAATAATATTAGGTATCTGTTACTTAATAATCAACAAAACAAATGTGCTCCATCCTTTCAGAGATTACTGTGTGTTGAAGAAGGGCCAGGTGGGGTGGTCCCCGCTTGCAATTCCAGCCACTCAGGAGATTGAAGCAAAAGGATCACAAGTTCAAGGCCAGCCTTGGCAACTTATTGAGACCGTCTCAAACATAAAAAAGTTCTGTGGGTTTAGCTCAATCCCCAGATGCCCAAAATAACAATAATAATAGTTATTATGGTATGGCACATAGCTGCAAACACTCATTGAATTACCTTGTTTTCTAAGACATTTGTATAAATTAAATGCTTCCCACTAGAGTTATAAGTGGCCCAGGCTCATCACATCCTCATGTCTTTTTTTTCCCTTGTACCGGGGATTGAACTCAGGGATACTTAATCACAGAGCAACACCCCAGCCCTTTTTATACTTTGAGATAGGGCCTCACTGAACGGCAGAGGCTGGCTTTGCACTTGCCATCCTCTTGCCTCAACCTCTCAAGCTGCTGGGATTACAGAATTGTGCCACTGAGCCTGGTTGACTTTTTTAACATCTTTGCTAATATTGTCAATGTCATCTCCTTGTTTATAAAGTCTCCATGTTAAAATGTAAGAAAAAGGATATAAATCATGATAAAATATATGTTTAAGAAGTTACATTAAGGAAAGTGAAAAACTAGCTTTATATATTAGGATTATCCAAATATACAGCTTACATAATTTAAAAGTAATCACTTGCAAGACACATATTCTACTAAATAAATTGAGCTAAGAAGCCTATAATCCCAGTGATTTAGGAGGCTGTGGCAGGATTGCAAATTTGAAGTCAGTCTCAGCAACTTAGCAAGACCCTGTCTCAAAATAAAAAATAAAGAAAGGACTGGGATGCTGGTGTTGTGGCTCAGTGGTAGAGCACTCGCCTAGCATGCGTGAGGCACTGGGTTTGATCCTCAGCACCACATAAAGGTGAATAAATAAAATAACGATATTGTGTCCAACTACAACATAAAAAAAAAAAAAAAAAAGGAAGGAAGGACTGGGGATGTAGCTATGTGGTAAAGTACCCCTAAGTTTAATCCTCAGTACCAAAGCGAGAAGGAAAACAAACAAACAAACAAACAAAAAACTCAAGTTAAAAATGGCAAAAGCCAAGTCTTTCTGGCACTCAGAGATCTAAAGCAATCATTGTCCAGATTTTTCAAAAGACCTAATTCCAATGGAATCCCTCCCTTTCCTTTGGCTTGCTGACAAATGAGGCATAACTAAAACATTTCTGGAATATGTAATAAAGTTTTAAAAAGGTGGGGGGCTAAGTGTTTTATAAAAGATAATGGCAGGATGAGGAAATGATATATTAAAATATACAAAACGGGCTGGGGGTTGTGGATCAGAAGTAGAGTGCTTGCCTAGTACATGAGAGGCCCTGGGTTTGATCCTCAGCATCACATGGAAATAAATAAAAGTATAAAAAATAAATTAAAATACACAAAACAATTTGTACTAATAAAAATGCCTTACAACCAAGAAAAAATAAATTCAAAACAAAACTTCATAGTTGAAGAAAAAAATTTCAACTGTTATTTATAATATGTGAGAAGATATTTAGGTCAAATTTCTTATATTAGTGTAGAACTCATAAATAATAAAAACAAGGCAAATATTGTCTTGAATTACAAAACTTATATTTTATAAATGACACATATTTCTGATACTTTAATTGTACATTAAAGAACAGAGTTACAAAATTAAACAACTCTGCTCCTTCTTAAATTCAAAGTGGTTATAATAACATCAGCAAATTATGCCAGGTTTTAAATTAATGTATGGTCCTATAAAATTTAAATTACTTAGAATAAATGAGGAAAAAAATTAGCTTATGCTCTCTACATCCCATTTAACCCTGTCACTTTTAAACAACAGAAATTTTTTTTTCCTGGAAAATACCCTCATCTCTACTTCCAGCAGCATATTTCAACAATCATCTGGAATTTGTGCCAAGAAGCAGGGGCATTCATCACCAAACCTGTTATACAACAAGTTTTCTTTTAACAAACTGATGGTTGCCGAACATGAAAACATTAACTTGTGACTTTTCAGAGGCAGAAAGTTTTTCTCTTTACCTTTAGTGTCTGCAATGAAATTTCAAAAAGTTTTTAACCTTTATTAACCTTCAATGATTTATCATTTTATAGCAGTACAAAAAGTGTCAAAATGGATCAGAAACAAGGTTTACAATGCTCATAATAACTTCTGACAGTGGTAATATTTAACCTTTTGAGCTAGTCTCAAAGACCAGCAATATAACTCAAATTAAACAATACATAACGATAAATGTTATTCCTAAAAAAAAAAGTTATTTCCCTGTTTACAATTTTTAGAAAATGGTATAATATAAAAATATTTTCTTCATTTCCCTGCCATGGTAATCTGAAACCGCACCTAGGTTCTCTCCAACTTCAAGGGTAAAGAGTGAAACATTCCATTTTAGTAGAAACACTCATTTCTCATAGCTAGCATTTTTTCAAGGCACTCTAAAAATTCTTAAGAATGCTAAAAGAAAAACATTCCTTTGCCTACTGATCTTTTGATCATGTTCTCCCCAAATTTTTTAAAATTAAACATAAGTGGTTCTTCTGAATTTTTATTTTCCATAGTACAGTCCTTAAGTTATTTTTCTTTTATTTGGAGCTACTCCTTCATTTTCAACTTGCTGAGCAGGCAAGCAACTGCTTTTGGTTTCCATGGAAACTGGAGTCCTTCGGCTGCGTGTAGGCATTCTGGTTCCACCAACCTAAGAGATAAAGCAAAGAACAAAATAGCTTAATATATTTACAACATACCTACGTATAGTAAACTGTATTATTTCTATATGTACTAATCATCATGGATATAATCTTCTAAATTTTTGGTCACCAGTCACATGGTTAACTGTTACTAAACAAGTTTTAATCTGATATAGTTTTAAGTAGTATAATTTTTTCAGATCAAGATAGATAAGTGAATGGAAAAGCTACTATGTTTGGGGCTGGGGATGTGGCTCAAGAGGTAGCGTGCTCGCCTGGCATGCGTGGGGCGCTGGGTTCGATCCTCAGCACCACATAAAAATAAAATAAAGATGTTGTGTCCACCGAAAACTAAAAATAAATATTAAAAAGTTTTCTCTCTCTCTCTTTAAAAAAAAAAAAAAGCTACTATGTTAAATTTGGAAGGGGCTGAAATGTTCAATTAGAATAAAAGGGAATGACAGGGCTTTTGAATAATATATTTGCACTAATTCTGCTTAAGGAAAGGAAAAAAGAAATGAGAAAAAAAGAAATAAGAAATATGAAGGCAAAATAAAGAAAATATAAGCAAATCAGAGGTGCTGAAAAAGGAGAAGAAATTACATGGAAAAAAAGGACAGACAGTAAGATAAGGAAGAAAGGGCGAGACAAAGAAAAGTTGTTGGGCACAGTGGCACACACCTGTAATTCCAGTGACTCTGGAGGCTAAGGCAGGAAGATCACAAGTTCAAAGCCAGCCTCGGCAACTTAGTGAGGCCTTAAGCAACTTAAGAAGACCCTGTCTCAAAATAAAATATAAAAAGGGCTGGGGGTATGGATCAGTGGTGAATTGCTCCTGGGTTCAATCCCTGGTACAAAAAAAAAAAAAAAAAAAAAAGCCCAAGAGGGAAGAAAGAAAAAACAATAAACATAGAAGAAAAAACAAAACAAAAAAAGGAATACAGAGGATGGGCAAAGGGAAAGAAGGACGCTTGGGGGACACCCATGGTGCTACTTGCACCTTCATGTGTACTATTCTCCTCACTCTCCTTTTCTAACTCACTGTGTAAGGGAGGAAGGTCATTCTTTGGACCCAATCCTTTGCTAATCATAGTCCTGTTTAAGAATAAGATCTGGAAATACTGTCACTTTCTTGGCTACTAGGAGGGAGGGCAGAAAGTTTTTAAAATATGTAAAGGGGAAAGCCAGCCCTCACAGAGAAGGATGAAAGCTGTGTAACCTGAAATAATTTCCACAGAATCTGCCCATATCTGCCTGTATCTTCCCCAGCCACCACTCACACTTTGTTTCATCACATCCTATCTAGTGAATCCCATACTTGGGCACACTAACGGTGATACTGGAACTCCAAGCACTCTCTCATATTCCAAACCCAACAGAAGCAGTGCTGGTTACTGGTTCACTGAGTGTCCCTTACCTATTATTTACTGCCTCTTAAAGGGACTTTTTTTCCTTTAAATCTTATTTATTTATTTATTTAGGTTTAAAATGACATGATTAGAAAGGACAAACTTAAGGCTTTGAATCTGCCAGACTCTCTGAGGTTGATGAACATTTATAACATTTCTACTAGAAAGTGCTATGATTTTTAGATATCTATATCACTCTCTACATAGCTGGTATTTCTTTTAAAGATATACTGACTATACTAATTGTATCTACTATATCTTTGAGGAAAGTCAGCATTGAAGACTTCCATTGTAAGATGGTATGTGTGTGTAAAATAAATGCTCATTATAAAAATTGTAGGAGAAAAGGGTATGAAGTAAGAAGCTGCTGCAAAAAGACTGCAAAAGTCAGAAGTAGCACAGGAAATAAAACGAACTCCTCCCTATATCCTCTGCTGGATGCAGCAGGGAGGCAGACACAGGGTCTACTGGGGTCTCTTCAGGGTTAGTGCCTTAAGGCACTATACAGATGTGAGTTCTATGTTCAAGTAGATTAGGGTCTAAGGAATCACATTGGGGCAAAAACATTTGTTATATGAGTCTGTACATGGAGAGGATATGCAGATGATTTATGTTTCATACAGGTTTTTTCTTCCCCAGTTTCCTTAAAGTTGTGATTTTTCCCCATTTCTGCTAAGGCTAAAAAAATCCCTATTGGTGCTTAGCTGAAGGGAAAGAAAAAAAGTAGAAAGTCTTATTTCCATGGTCTGCTTAGGAGCAAAGCAGGAAGGTGGGGGTAATCCCACTAAATGTAGGGCTAGATTGTTATATCATAATTATATCCAAAATGTTCTACTGACTTACACACACACACACACACACACAAAATCTCAAACTAAGTTTGGTTATCTCATTGTCTATAGTACCTAGTGTTGGTCTGTGTAAGAGCCTGGTCCTGGTTAAACTCACTAAATATTTGTTCCTAAATTGAATACATGAAGTATCTTAAAAATACAAATAAATATATCGCTGTGCTCAGTGATATACATGTAATTAATTGTTAAAATATATATTTACACAATCAAACCCTGAACATATAGAATTTTTCCTTTTCCAAATAAATTATTATTATTATTATTTGTTATACAAAATCACATTTTGATGGGAACAGAAAAGACAGTAGAATGAACCATACCTAACTTTCCTATGGTTATATATGAATACACAACCATTGTAACTCCACATCATATACAACCACAAAAATAGGAATTTATATTCCACGTATGTATGATATGTCAAAATACACTCTACTGTCATGTACAACTAAAAAGAACAAATAATAAAGAATCAAAAGCACATTTTTGGACCACATTTTTAAAAAAGTAAATCATGATAGTATTTCAAAAACATAAGGTACTCAACATTATTCTAGTGTTAATCTGTATCAATAAGGGAAGAATAAAAATATTACTCAGTTCTTTTTTAAAAACACCTTGGACAAATAAATTTATCCTTCTATTTACAGTTGTTTGAAGTCAAGACATTAAACCATTAATTTTCACTTTAGAAGAATAAGCAACCCCTGCACAGAATTATATGTTATGGTTCAGAAACTATAATCAGTGTTTCTAAATTAAAGAAAATCATTCTTCTAGAAAGAATACAGATCTTCAAAAATGGTTTTCAATTATTATTTCCTTAAGAGGTTATAAAAACCACCATTTATATTGTATGTAAACTAGGGATAGTCAACCAAAACTGTAGATAAAATAACTTAAGATGCTAACAGTTAACTTTCTCCATTCTTTTTTTTTTTTTTTTTTTAAAAGAAGAAAGAGAGAGAGAGAGAGAGAGAGAGAGAATTTTTTAATATTTATTTTTTAGTTTTCGGCAGACACAACATCTTTGTTTGTATGTGGTGCTGAGAATCGAACCCGGGCCGCACGCGTGCCAGGCGAGCGCGCTATCGCTTGAGCCACATCCCCAGCCCTCTCCATTCTTTCACTGATCTCAACTGGTTAACCATATTTATATTTTCTTGGCCAATGTTAACTAAGAATGTACAAGGAGTTCGGTGTTCAATAGCTGCTTAGCATGCAGAAGGCCCTGGGTTCAATCCCCAGCAGAAATAAATAAATAATAAACAAACAAATCCTTCCAAACTCTAACATTAAGGTAAAGAACTGAAAAACATAAACAACCCTATTCACTGTAAATTGTTTTAAAAAAAGTCCTCAATATTTGCATTCTAGCTATTTCTCAAAAGGACTTAAGGACATTTACAGATTAATTTACTGTAATATAGAAGGGAAAAAAGAATAGAACATTCAAAGGGTACACAAGTGATAAATTCTCTGAGGGTAACAACATTGAAAAGATTATAAAATTCAGTAATTTTGATTCAAAGTTTTTTTTTTTTTTTTGGCAGCAGAAAGGAAAACACACTAGGTTTTGTCTCCTGAACATTCAGATAGCAAACTTTTTCCTACAACTAAACTTAAATTGAAATTTCTTAAATTATATACAGAGAACAAGTGACATGGTGGAAACTATTTCTAGCCACAGCTTTGTAGGTTTTAGATAAATAAATTATTATACAAGTGAGATTTCTAGGAGGAATTTAATAAAGAGAGCAACATTAAAGTGTAATTTAATAAATATTGAGTTATACATACGTAGCAGAACATAATATAGTCATTAATACTGCAGCTATATTTATAACAAAGCACTCCATTAACTACTACATTTTAATTTTTCCATATCCTAGCAATCAATTTTAATTATATCATAATTTTATTGTATGTATTCTTTTGCAAATTGTCTCAAATATTTAATAAAATTGAATAGAGTGGGCATAAATAAAAATTGCAAATATAACTTTTTATTTTATAGGAACATCAAGATTTAACTATGCGGCTGCCTTACCCATGCACCCATGAAGCAAGCTAGAATTTTATTTTGTTGGTTTATAAACCTTATAAAAATAGAAAGTTCCATTGACAAAGACTGGACATGGTAGAGCATACAACTTTATCTACCCTTCTTATGGGTATTGGTTGTAGAATAGTAGTTGTAATTAACTTGGAAATGTGGACCTCAGGTTGAAGTACAGTGAATGAAACAAATTAATAATAAACAATCTAATAGAACATTTGATTTCAAAAAGACTTTACCTTTTGCTGTGTTGCAGGACCCAGTGATTTGGGTGGAAAAGTACAAGGTATCCGTCCATGATGAATATGATATGGTAATAGGAGACTGGGATCTAATGGGACCCAAGGAACTGAGAGACTAGAAGGTACACCAGGAGGGTCACAATGTGTTTTATGCAAATTGTATGCTGTTCTAGTAACTTTTCCGTCAGAGGTCTTGTAGATCAGGAGTGAAGAATCTTCTGCTGCATGAGACAACAAGTAGGAACCCTCCTGCAAGCTAAGTACACCATTGAAGATCAATCTATTAATAAAACTGAAAACAATTATAGGCATAGAACCACAACCTCTAAAATATAAAATAGACCAATAAAAGTAGACTTCAGATTTAAAGTCTTTTCATGCCTTTTAGGCAACTAAATTATTTTGGAACTTTGGAACTTTAGTACAAAGTTCAGAATATCTGATCATTTTCTTTTTATTATGTATTAGGCAATTTGCAAAATTTCAATCATCTAATAGAAAAACAATCTGCCTATTTTTCTAATCTATGGAGAACAGATGCTTCCTGAAAACATCTGTCTCTCAACATTTTCATCATTCAACATCCTAATTTTTATTTCTAGTAATAGAAGTTAATAGGTAGAAGTAGAAGATTAACAGATAGTAATTGATAGAAGTAGACACAGGTTAATGTTAATACTGAAATGTACTCTTAAATTTTAAGAAGGTAGAGCTCATGTTAAATGATCTTATTATAATAAAAATTATTTTAAATTATAAAAGTGACAAAAGACATGAGAGAAAGTTAATGTTACATGTTTATGACATCCAGTACTTTAAAATAAAGTGGCAGAAACTATTGATGGAACAACCAAGATATAATATGAAGTATTATTATGAGATAATAGTAGCAATAGCAGCCAACAGATATTGAATTTTTATCATGAGCCAACAAATGTTATACTGCTTCATATCCATTTTTTCATTAAATCCTCTGCAACAAATCTTCAAGGCATAATATTAATTATTAACTCCACATCAGTGATAAATAAACAAATTAGAGATGTGAAGCAATTTGCCCAAAGTTGTGAGTATAGTAGGGTTTATATATAAACTCAGGCGGTCAAATTCCACAGGCTATACCCTTAATCACGATCCTCTACTATCACAATAATCAGTCATGTCAAACATCCAATCCACATTTTTCTTTTTTTTCTTAGAAAGCTTTAAGGGATTCAATGTATAACCATAAAGAGCTATTAGGATGATTAATACACTGTGCTTTCTTGGGATTACACATTTTCTGGATCAAAGGGGAACAGTTCTTTCTCACATTAATAAAAAAAATAGATTAATCATACTTCAGTTATACAGATCTCCTACAAATCTTTAAGTTACATTTTCATTAACATTTTTTTGGTGCAGGGGATTTTACCCAGGGGTACTTAACCCTCGAGTTCCATCCCCAGTCCTTTTGCGTTTTGAGACAGGGTCTTGATAAGTTGCTTAGAACTTTGCTAAGTTGCTGAGGTTGGCCTTCAACTTGGGATCCTCCTGCCTCAGTCTCCCTAGTCTCTGGGATTACAGGCACATATCACCACACTCAGCCATTTTCATTAACTTTTTAAATTAAAAGTAATAGATGTTGATGAAGGAGGTCCCCAAAATTATTCTTATCCTTTAGAAACTTTTTTCTCTTGATCACTTTAATATAAGGAAATAATAATTGATAAAGAAGCAGGAATAAATAACATTTCAAAGATTGAGATTTTACTAATGAAAATCACTAAAATCACTAAAAATGAAGAAAACTTTGGTTTATAGAAAAATGTATACATATTTTTTGAGATGGGTTTTGCTATGTTGCCCAGGTTGGTTTTGAACTCCTAGGCTCAAGTGATCCTCCTGCCTCAACCTCCCAAGCTGTGCCATCCTACCCTGCTCCAGAGCAATGTATTTAATTTATGGAGAATGAGACACTCCAAGGACAAGTATCATACACATGCCATACGAATGCAATGCACATAAAAAAATATAAAGACATACAACTCTGGTAGGCAGAAGAGTGGCCTCCTAAAAATGTTTTTTTTTTTTTTTCCCCACACCCTGGTTATCTTACATGGCAAAGGGGAAAGGTAGCAGATGGAACTATGGTGACTAATCAGCTAATTTTAAAATGGTCATATTTTCCTGGATTATCCAAGTGGGCCCAGTGTAATCACAAGAGCCTTTAAACGTGGAAGGAGGCTGAAAAGACTCACAGGGAAATCCTACTGAGAAACAAATTCAGACAAGCGAATACTATGATTTTAACCCAGTATGACCAGTTAGATCTCAAGATCTACAGAACTGCAAAATAATAAATTTGTGTTGTTTTACAAAACTGATATTTTACAGCTATGATAGAAAACTAATATAAGGACTGGGGAATATAGCTCAATTGTAGAGTGCTTGCCTAGCATGTGTGAGGTTTTCACTCCCCAGCACCATAAATAAATAAATAAGAAAATTAGTAACAAATGAAATAAGATTGACAATAAAAATTCAAAAGCATCTGGCAAGTTTCATATATAAGTACTGTACCTCCTTAGAACTAAAAAGTACTCAGGTACTTACTGTACCCGACACCATTATTTTACAAATAAGGAAATTCACATCTGGTTGTATAATTTAAGTGGAGAGTTAGAACTTGAACTTGGAAATTTTGACTTTGAGTTCAGACTACTGAATTGTTGTCTATTTCTCTTTTCATGACAGAAAGTAAAAATTCATATAAGTTGGACAAATGATCATTTGGAGAATTCATATTCTTAAATTTGCCACAGACTTAAAAACTTTGGTTACCAGTTCTCTGTGGCTTCTTTGTCCTGAACAAAAACTGTTAGTCTGCATAACGGTCTCCCATGATGTCTGTATCCTGTCTCCAGACCTGTGAATACATTAACTTTAATGGCTCTGCAAAAGTGTTTAAATTAAGGATTCTGAGATGAGGAGATGATCCTGGATTACTTGAGTAGGGCCAATGTAATTACAGGGTCCTTACAGCAAGCAGGCAGAGGAAAATACTATTACAGTAGGGACAATGCAGTGTCATCTGGATGCAGACATCTGAGTGATGAAATCTGAAGATGGAAGAAAGGGCTGCAAGTCAAGGAATACAGCTGAGTACTAGAAACTGAAAGAGAGAAGGAAGGCTTGGCAATGTACACCTGTTATTTCAGCAACTTCGGAAGTTGAGACAGGAGGATCACAAGTTCAAGGTCAGCCTGGGTAATTTGGCAAGATACTGTATCAAAAGAAAAGAAAAGAAAAAAAAAAAAAGCTCCAGAAGAAAGCAGCCCTGCTGACACCTTGACCTTAGCCAGTGAAACTGATTCTGGATTTCTGGTCTTCAGGACTATAAAGAGAACTATAAATTCATATTACTTTAAGCTACTTGTAATAGGGGCAATTTGTTATATGGACAATAGGAAACCAATACAATGGCCTTTTAGAAAATATATTAGCAAGTTCATTACAGCAGATACTATCACATTATCTTTTTATTTGTATTTTTTACAATTTCAACTTCAACAAAATAATTCTTGTACTTCCAGTCTTTTCTCATTGATTGTTAATAACATTTTCAAAGTTTCTAAGAATATTCACCTAAGAAAATCAGACAAATCGCGCAAAGTGTCCAAAAAATACTTACCTACTTAATTTCTTTAGGATGTGTTGGAGAATGTTAAATAAACTTGAAACCCTATTAAACAGAAGAAATTTATGTAAAATTAAGCCAAAACACTTAATTATTAATAATTGTAGCTTCTCAGGAAAAGAAATGCCCTCAATAACATAGGAAAACAGATGTGACAATATAAAACAGAATGCTAAACTTTTAAACATTTGAATGAAGAAATGATAAACTTTTATTTTTGTCATTTCTTGATTTTCTTTTATAATCAAAGTATTGGCCTTGTGTTAAGCAGTTATAAAAAGATCACTGTTGTATGTTGAAATCACATACTTTTAAAAATACAGAACAGTATGGCTTTTAAAGATGGTGTAAATTAGTTTTCAAATATTTGATGGGTACTTTAAATATGCAATGACAGAGAAGCTACTGATTGTGAATGGGATAACTAAAGGGAAATTAAATGTTATTTATTTATTTTTTTTAGTATCTCTTCTAGATCCTAACTTAATATTTCTTTTAAAAAAAATCATTTTCATTGAGAGAAGTGAGGCAGGCAGAGAGTGGGGTATAGAAGTTTTTCTATTCACATGTGTAAAGAAAAGTTACTGCCCCAGAAAAGCAATTCTTAGAAACAAAAGTGGATATATTTAAGTGTAAGCTGAGAGTTCAAGTTTGAATCTGGGACTCTTAAAAAAAAACATCAAGCCTCAGAGGTAGTACTACGCAATTAGTATAAATTAAGACAATTTCTCATTTAAGTGGTGAATTCAACATACCAACTAAGAGCTAGACTGTCTGACATTAGCTCAGTAATGTGCTCTGGAGGCAAGGACCTATTAATCCTAGTTCTCATATATAAAATGGCAAAGACACTACCACCAGCCTTTCATAGAAAGTTGTGAGATACAAATGAGATAATATTTATAAGTTACTTTCCTTTGCATTTAGGCATTTAAAGTTCTAAGTACAATAAATTCATTTAGTTTTGGTATATAAAAACGCTTGGTAGGATGGGCAAACTTAATATTTAAAAGTAAAGGAAAACTAGTTATCATACTAATAAGTTTTTCTCAATTCTGTCACAAAGTGAACTTTCTTACTTGAGTGCTGAAAGTTTTTCTTTTAATTCTTCTGAGGTAATTTCTTCTAGCAGGAAAAGCTTTGAAGTAAATGCATCAATATGCCCTAAAAATAAAATATCAAACTTAAAAAAAAAAGCAAATAAGGTATTTAAAAAACAAAAATCCAACAAGTCACCCACTCTCCTTCAAGAAAATTTTTACAAAATTTTAATAATTATAATACGAATTTCATCAAGTCTTGGCAAAGCTGTATTTTAAAATTACAAAAAAAAATCAAATTATAAAAGAAATACATATTCATTTAAAAATCTTTGCTGAATGTAGAAAAGTTTATACATATCCACAAACACAAAATAATCCCTAAGCCAACAATTTAAGAATAACTGTTCAGGGCTGGGGTTGTGGCTCAGTGGTAGAGCCCTTGCCTAGCATGTGTGAGTCACTAGGTTAAATTCTCAGCACCACATATAAATAAATTACTTAAATAAAGGTCCATTAATAACTGAAAAAAATTTTAAAAAGGTTAAAAAAAGAATAACTCTTCTAATATTACTATTTCTAATTTCCATTAAAGTTGCATTTTTATTGAATTTTTCAAGGAAAATATATACTTATTGTTAAAACAAGCACTTAAAAATCAAAATTTATAGACTGGGCATGTTCTATGTATCTTTACACATGTGGTTTTTAAGATGAAAATTAGATTATAAAAAATATGGCTAATTATTTAAAGTACACCATGAGATTTCTTGTGGTTTAAGCAGTCTGTTTAGTCTTTTTTCTTTGCACTACTGGGGATTAAACCCAGGGCCTTGTACATGCTACCACTGAGTATATTCCCAGCCCCTTTAATTTTATTTTGGGACAGGATCTCACTAATTTACTAAGGGTAATCCCTAATTACAATCCTCTTGCCTCAATATACTGAGCACCTAAGATTATAGGCATGCACCTATAATCCTATAGGTGCATAGGATTATGCCTGACTCAAAGTCTTTATTTTTTTATAAGCATGATATGAATCTAGAATTCCAAAAAGCAAAACAGTACATGTCCAAAATAACACTTCTATTTTAAAAAGTCATGTGTATGTTTTAAACAAAACAGGTTGAGACACATCACTGATGCCTTATGATATACCAAACCAAGGAAGAGTGAAACAAAACTTAGCCCTGAGACAAATGTTATACAATCAAGTCATGGTTTTTATTAAGGAGAATAAGAGAAACACTCACCATGACTAAAAGTGATATTGTTTTAAAATAATACTGTTTTTGGATTTTTATTTTTTTAAACTCTTAATATTGGGTTATCTAATTACCAGGCATGTTGATATCAATCATAGGAACAACAAAAAATACATATAATTTGATATCTCACTTTTATATCTCGCCCACTTTAATTTCAGTTGCTTTATGCTCAAAGAATTCAATTAGAAACGTTATTAACAGATGCCTTCCTTCTAGACAACAAATCCATCTGTTCCAACACCCTTGTTACACAAAATTTGAGTTTCACCTCTTTTTTCCTAACAGTCATTATACAGTGACATTTCTTTTTTGTAACTTTAAATTTATGTGCATTTAGTTGCATAGCCTAATATATAATGTAAAAAACTAAGATAACAGATTAAAAATAAATATTCATAATTTAGGGAGATTTTAACATATCTTAAGGGATTGGTAGAATATGCTGATTAAAAAATGAGTGAGTATATAAAAGACTTGAGAAAAAAAGGATTAACCAAATGAACATACAGAGAATACTATGCCCAAAACCTGCATAATATATAATTTTTTGCAAATATTTTCCTATGACATATGGTTATTAATATACCTATCTTTAACAATTATTGTTTTAGTGTGGTTGATGGCTTAATTGCATTGTCGTCCACGAACATACTGTCATCTTAGTCCTTTTGGTCCATTTTCATAAGTATATGTGTATATTTGCAAAAAATTATATAGTGACATTTCTAATAACAAACTTGTACATTTTAATGGTTTAATAACATAGAAAAAGGATATTAAGTGCTATTTTATTTTTTGGTACTGGGGACTGAACTCAAGGGCACTTAACCATTGAGCTATATCCCTAACCCTTTATATTTTTTATTTTCAGACAGGTCTAGCTAAGTTGCTTAGAGCCTAAATTGTTGAGGCTGGCCTCGAACTTGCAATCCTCTTTCCTCAGACTCCTGAGTTGTTGAGATTATAGATGTGTGCCACTATACCTGGCAATATTACATTTTTAGATGCTTACAAAATAAGCCTTGAAGAGACTAACAGTTCTTATATTTTTAAGGAAACTCAATAAAAAAGTACATATTATAATATACATCAAATACAGTCTGTCAAAAAACTATACAGACAATCATCCTAAGTACTATGAAGGTTTACCTCCTTAAGATTACAACTATCAACCTTGAAGCTTCCTGACCTGTGAGCTTAAAATGAATTAACTATATGCCTGAGATACTTATCTTCTTAGCCCTTGGGGCAGCTGAGCAGGGTTTGGGAGGATAAAAGCTTTCTGGCCAATGCCCTTCACTTACAAGCAATCTTGAGATCTCTGTACATCACAGTTTGTTGTACAAATGTTTTTCAGATGTGTCAAAGTTGGGAGACACTGTTTATGTAGTACAAATAAAGGCTTTGTATGCATGCGTTCATACATGTATACCTATATATACATAGGTAGTCCTTGCTTTGTTTGCAGGGCAGGACCATACAAATGATCATACTGGTGAAAACTATGCAAGCAATTTTTAATAATATATGATCATTATGTATGATATTATATAAGTAATCTAAAAACTATGATTATTCTACCACCTTTAAGTATTCTGTCAAAACAAATTTTCCATCAATTTTAAGTGCATAGGGAAATGAAAAAAACAGCAAAGTATGTATTTAGTTTATTTAAAAAACCAGCCTGGCATGGTGTCACATGCTTGTAATCCCAGCGATCTAGGAGACTGAGGCAGGAGGATCACAAGTTCAAACCTAGCCTCAGCAACTTAGTGAGACCCTATCTCAAAAATAAAATACGGCTCAGTGGTAAAGCATTCCTGGGCCAAATTCCTGGTACTCCCCCACCGCCAAAATTCCTGATCAAGAATATTTTGAATAGTGCTTGTTGCATTCTTAAACAACTCATGTAGAAAGACAGCATCTTTTCTATGTCGTGGTGAAATAGCTTCAAACAGTACATCCTTTGAGCATTCAATGTCACGAAGTATCCCAGGAGTTCCTTTAATATAAAATCTTATGCTGCTGTCACTTCTTCATTTTTTATGTCACAACAATTTTCCTCGTTTATGTCAACAGAGTAGCCTTCACTAAGTTCCTCTAGCAGAAAATCTAGAGTTTCTTGAGGAGTACGAGTGTCAACACTTGTACTGTCAGTTATTTCTTCTATAACTCCAGGTAAGTATGATTCAAATTTCATTTCTAGCAATATTAATTTTTATTTCTTTATTTTAATCTGTGTTGGCCAATTCCCTCTTTTGAGTATCCACTTTTACAAATATTATATGGGTTTAACACTGGAAGATAAGGAGGTAACACAATTGTATGCTTCGTTTTCTGTACATGAACTCAATGATAGGTGAATAGTGATCAGTCACAGATCATGAATGAGGTGGCATAACTTGCCAGTGATTATGATGTGCATCTATTATCTATGTAGTGATCAGAGCAAACAGTGAAGATTGTATGCAATTACTCATTGTTAATATGTTGTCATAACTGGTATTTATACTTCTAAGAATTGTGCACAGTGAGGACTACCTGTACACCAACTATATAGAATTGATATACATTATAGGACTGGAGGGTGATACAGAAATTGTGGTAAGACTACTTTGGATGCTTTCTTAAAGGAGTAAATCTTAGCCAGGCAAGGTAGTACACGTCCTTAATCCAAGGAGGTTATGGCAAGAGGATTCCAAGTTTGAGGACAGATTCTACAATTTATTGAGAATCTTGTCTCAAAAAATAAAAAGGGCTCAGGTTGTAGCTGAGTGGTAAAGCACCTCTGGGTTCAATCCCCAGGACCACACACATTAAAAATCAACCAGTCAGTCAATCTTACTGTTTTTATGGGGCATGGGGCAAGTAGGAAAAAAAAAAAGTACTGTAATCTAGGGAAAGAGGGGAATGTGCTTATAGTAAAGCAAGCAAGCAAACAAAAAACAAAACAAACAAACAACAACAAAAAACAAGTGTCCTTGAGCTTCCTGAAAAAGAATCTATGAGCTATAGAAGTGGTTCTCGAAGTGTGATCCCTGGACTAGCAGCATCAACCTCATCTGAGAACATGTTAGAAATGGAAAGCCTTCTATTTCTAATTCAGACCTATTAAGTAAGGCACTTTATGGTTGATGTTAGAAAGCTCCATTTTAACAAGCTCTTTAAGTATTTTTCTTGAAAATTTTTCTTAAGAAGTACTATAATATTAAACAAAACAAAAAACACCTCAAACCTCACGTGCTTTAAAATACATTTCCATGTTAAGTATAGCTCAGTGGTAGAGCACTTGCCACTACCACTAGAATATGGAAGGTCAGCATCAAAACAACAAATATGTGGTGTGTGTTTGTGTGTGTGTGTGTATCCATATAAAAATGGAAAACAAGCCCAAAACCCACAACCATACATGTTTTTGTTTTGATTTAGTCAAACCGTTGTCACAGAAACCAAACATATTATCCCATCACACTAAAATGAATGGCTCTTCTGTGGATAGATTCACTGAGGAAAACCAGAACATGTGGCAATGATTACTTAAGACTTTTTAAGAATACTGTAGATGAAATAATCCACACAGTCAATGATGGTAGTTTTATCTGTTAAACTGTGCATTAAAAAATTAAAAATGAATCTTGGGGCTGGGGTTGTGGCTCAGTGGTCAGTGGTAGAGAGCTTGCCTAGCATGTGTTAGGCACTGGGTTCGATTCTCTGCACCACATATAAATAAAATAAAATAAAGGTCCATCAACAACTAATAAAAATATTTAAAAAAAACGAATCTCTCTCATCAGTCAGTTCAATTCACTGATAAAGTTTTGCTGGGTCTTTTCCTAAAGTGGATGTGGTTGGCAATACTATCAAGCAGCTGACATGAAGACTATTAGTGTGAAGTCTCTGGAGAAACATTAAGATCCTGGTTACTAATTAAAAAACTACTACAATAAACTTCCAGCAGTGAGTATGAAAGAGGTGGAGTTAGGCAGAGTGAATTAATTATTTCATTATTACGTTATTAGATGAATAGTGATCAGTCTATATTTCATAAAATATGAAAACAAAATATTGGTTAGCCAAAATAAGGGGAAAATTCCAAGTGAACAACTTCTCCTGGATTAGGCGAGAAAAATACACAGCACTTATTACATACAAGACATTATGCTACCCACTGCATAAATACAGAATTCCATCAGACTAACCTCAAACCACATATTGTCTAACAGGAAAAAGAGATAAGTAGAAGATAACAAAAAGAGAGTAAAAGATGAAAGGTGAAAGATGGTACACTGAGTGATGGGAAAAAGGAAAAGATCATATGGAGGGGCAACTTGGGATGATTAGGAGGGACTGAGACATATGGAATGAACTGAGATATATAGGATTAGGCATTCTAATGGGAGAAAACAAATGATCAGCAAATAATCTACCACATGAGGTATGTTCATTGTAAATGAACCCAGCCAATCAAACCCCTGCCTAATTTCTAGCCCTGTAAAACACTAAAACAAAAAAGTAAAAAGTCACTTCATTAATGTGAGATTAAAGACAGTGTTATTATAATTTTATGAAAATTTCAAAAAAGTATGAATCAATTAAATAGTAAACCAATTAAATAGTACTTTTAAAAGTAGCTTGTTAGAATATACATCTGTTGTTTTTAGTTAACTATCTGTTAAATAAGAATTTAAAAACAAAAGATTATTTTGACACTCATGTATAGTGAGATTGATATGGAATAAGAGGAAAAAATGAAACATTTGCTATCACTAATTCCATTTTGCAGGTTAAATCTAGAGTAGAAATGGGGATTTAAGAGGAATGTTAATACAATTAGAAAAATAAAAACAAGCAAGTTCAAAAATGGAAGTTTTCCAATTGAATTTAAATGTATGTATTTACAAAAAAATTAAAAAGAAAGACTCTAATATAACTTACCAACATAAAACGAGCAGTTGGAATGCAATAAACTTTCTGTCCATAAGCGACAAAGTTCACTTTCTGTTAGAGCTTCAACTCCATAACAAGCTTGATATTCTACTTTTGGTAGTACATAAACTGGAAATTGCTGAAATTCAAGATTATAGTTTTTCAAAGCTCCATTAATTTACTATTAATAACAAATATATTTGCCTACATAGCTTTGCAGCTTTCAAGTAATCTTATTTCATCCTTTCATACAGAATAGGATTCAGACAGAGAGATGAACATATCTGCCCTTGATGGGCAAAAGAACCCTTGGTTGATTCAGGCAAGAAAGGATAAATGGATAAGGGAGATTCCTCACCACCACCTCATCCCCAGTGTAAATCACTATACCTGTGTGTGTGTGTGTGTGTGTATTTTTTTTTTTTTTTTAATTTCTGTCAGGGAATGTGATTGACAGACTCCTTGGAACAGAACCTATCATACATAATTGTCCAAAGATTCAAAGCTAGATGCTGGGAAGCAATGACTATAATATATATTAATAATTCTCAAGAGTAAAAAAAACAGTAAAGTTTTTTGTTGTTGTTTGCCCTTTTAAGCATTAGTTCCATTGTCTCAGGCTAAAATACTCTGAGCAGCTTGTTTTAATCCTATGAATGAATAACCATTAATAACCACATTAACAATTGTGGATGTCATTTATCTTCATTAATATAAAAGATTTTAATCTAGATATTAAGTGTCTGAGAAATTATCCATTCAGGGTTTACTGGTCAGGATTCCAAACAAATTAAGTAAAATGACTATAGCCAAGCACAAGAAATGACTATAACCACTAAAGGAGAATATGTAAAAATATATATATTTGTGAAATAATAAAACATTATTCTTATTCATTGTCCTCATGTTTGTCAAAGAAAATTCTTTTTTTCCCCGCTCTGCAGTGCTAAGGATTGAACCCAAAGCTTCCAGCATGTCAAGCAAGCACTTAACAACGGAGCTACAACCCTAGTCTAAAAACTCTCCTCTTAGCAGAACTCTATTTCCAGTTGCAGAAAAAGAAACATGAGATTTCAGTAACTTACTCAGAGTGATATGGCTAGATAGCACTTTTGAATTATACTAAGATACTGCACTCACAAATACACCTGAAAATATTTCATCAATGTTGCTGAATTGAGCCATGTTGCAAGTTAGTCAAGAAGTGACTAACTTGGTGGACTTAGCATAATGGTAGTAATAAGAACAATTCAAATACAGTAAAATTTTTGTTATCAACATGTGAAACAGTATGGTTTATATGATTACCTCTGAATTTTGTAAAACTTTAAAAAGTAGTGATTCCTAAATGTCAATATGCACATGAATAACTTGGTAATCATTCAAAAATGTAGAATCTGGGCTGGTACTCAAGGTTTTGCATTAACTATATACTAAATTTGGTTTTAATTTCTATATGTATTCTACTGCCATCTCCAGGAAGCCATGGGAAAGGAAGGCCTGAATATTTTATCTTTCCTTAGCAACCCAAGTGAAAATTTAAAATCAAGATTCCTGTACTATAAAAACTAAATTCATTATTTCCCTTCCCATGTGATAAGTGGCTCCTATTCTGTTCTCCCCCAAGTGAAAGCTTTTCTTGGTTCTGTCTTCCTGTTTTTCACATAAACCTCTTAAATCTTTACATATATTTCTAAATCGATATTCTATAGCTAGTAGCTTTTCATCAAAACTATTAATTATCTTTTATTTTCCTCAATATTTAGCACCTTCAAGATCCCTTTTTCTGCTTGGTGAAGTGGATCATGCCTATAATCCCAGTGACTTAGGAGGCTAAGGCAGGATAATTACAAGTTCAAAGACAGCCTCAGCAACTTAGTGAAGCCCTATGCAACTTAACAAGACCCTGTCTCAAAATAAAAAATAAAAAGGGATGAAGCTCAGTGGTTAAGTGCCCCTGGGTTCAGTCCCCGGTGCCAAAATATTTAAATAAACAAACAAATAAAACCATTACTCTGGTTCTACAATGCCTATATAAATTTTAAATAACTGAATCTGAAATTTTTAATCATTTTTCAACATAGCACTTAGGATATGTGGTTAACTGTGACAGACAATAACAGATAATATCAAATTATCCAGAGTTACTCAGTCTGGATTTCATAATTATGCACAGAACTCAGTGAATTTCAGTTTTATCTTAAGATCCAAATTAGCCTCTTTGTTTCATCACTTGAAACTGGCTGCTGTTTTAGGTTCTCTAAAATGCAGCTCTTGTTAAGCAGAGTTTTGATGAGGAAGTGTAAGTGATACTGGGAATTAAAATCTCAACCATGATAACAGAACTGAAGTATCAGAGGAAAATAAAGGAGAGATGTATTAGTTTCTTTCTTTTTCCTTTTCTTTTTTGGTAGTACTGGGGATTGAACTCAGGGCAATCGACATGCTAACAATCATAAGCTACAAACCTCAGCTCTTTGGAGATAGGGTTTTGCTAAATTGCTCAGGGTGGACTTGAATTTGTTATCCTCGTGCCTCAGGCCCCTGCCCTCTGAGTAGCTGGGATTATAGGTATGTCCCACTATACCTGGCAAGGTGAGGTTCTTGAACAGCAGAGGTTAAAGAAGCTTCTAAGTATTTTTAAGCTTTAAGCTGGTTTTAAGATAGAAATATTTAAGAGAATGTATCCTTACCTACTTAAATAGTAGCATTAAAAATATTTTTTGCTGGGCACAGTGGCACAGGCCTATAATCCCAGCAACTCAGGATGCTGAGACAGGAGGACCATAAGTTCAAAGCCAGCCTCAGCAATTTAGCGAGACTCTGTCTCAAAAGTAAAATATTAAAAGGGCTGGGGATATGACTCAGTGAATCTCCAGTACCAAAAAAAAGAGAAAAATTTCACACTAGTGCCTCAACTTTCTCCGAAGTACCCTTCTTTAACAATGTTCCTGTTCTCCCATTTCCTCAATTTTTCTCATTTTTTCAGAATTATTTATTGAGTTCCTATGGCATAGAACATTTAAGAAAAACAAAGATGAATGGGACATGATTCCAAGGAGCAGACATTCAACTCTGGGATTTAAACCATGTGTAGTGAACATCACATACAGGTGTGATAAGCATTCATTGAAAATTTTAAAATTTTTCTCGGTTTGACACAATCAGAAATATGAGATTTCTTTTTTAAAAATATTTATTTATTTTTAAGTTTTAGGTGGACACAATATCTTTATTTTATATTTATGTGGTGCTGAGGATCAAACCCAGTGCCTCGTGCATGCTAGGCGAGCAATCTACCACTGAGCCACAACCCCAGCCCAGAAATATGAGATTTCTATCCAGACATTCTTTTGGGGCTCAATTGTTTTGACACCATTTTGATGAAGGATAAATCTTCTCCTATAAGGTTATGTCTGGACATTTATCAATTTCACTTGAGTCCAGTGAATGATAAAGTTCTTGCCAACTTGTACTGTTTAAAGAAGTAAGTTAATATCCGAAATTTCCCTAAGCTATTCTTAAGAGATACTAGCCATCAATAATTTCTAAGTGCTATAGGCTAAAAGAGAAATACAAAGTGCTAGCTGGGCAGGGTGGTACAAGACTGTAATCCTAGCAACTTGGGAGTCAGAGGCAGGAGGATTGCAAGTTCAAAGCCAGCCTTAACAACTGAGCGAGGCCCTAAGCAACTCAGCAAGACTCTGCCTCTAAAAATAAAATATAAAAAAGGGCTGGAGATACGGCAAGTGGTAAAGTGCCCCGGGGTTCTATCACTATAACCAAAAAGCCCAAAACAAAACAAAAAATAAAGTGGTATGGGTTCAGAGGGTAGGAAGTAAAAGAAGTAAGGGTAGTCCCAAAATAAATAAGAGACAGAAAGTAAGAATTATAGAATTATGCTTTGAAAATACAATCCATAGCACTGATACTACAAGTGTTCAAGTTTATACTTATTAAATTCATCCCAGCTAACTAACTACAAATGAGACAAGAAAAATAACAAAGTAAAATTTCTTAATTCAGAGATTATCGGCATTTATCTGAGAGAAGGCTACCAGAAAACCTATAGAATTTGTTATTCCTTGATTTTTCCTTTATAAACACTTTCCAGGGGTTAGGGATGTAGCTCAATGGTAGAGCATTTGACTAAAATGGGTGAGGCCCTGGGTTCAATCCCTAGCACTCACCTCTGAGAAAGAAAAAAGCATTCCTAGATACATGTAATTCAAAATCATTGGTCTGTAAAATTTCACGTTTTTAGCACTTCTTTTCCTTTAGTTATTCTTTAAAGTCAGGGAGTACTCTACCAGGATCAGTACTGGAAAATATCACTATTCTTTATTCATCTGATCACTATTCCAAAACACATTGACACCCTAAAGTGGTCAACAATGATTTTTATTGGTGCTGGTTTAGATAGCAAGACACGAAAAAAAAAAAAAAAAAAAAGTATGTGACAAATAAACACAATGGAAAAAATTTTTTAAGAAAAAAGAAAGGCGAGAGCAGAGCCGCCGCCCGCGCCCGGCACAGGCCCAGCGGCCCACTGGCGTGGTAGACACGTCACCCCAATTGGATGATGGGCGGAGCAGAGCCGCCTCCCACGCTCGGAACAGGCCCAGCGGCCAGCCGGCGTGGTGGACACGTCACCCCAATTGGAGTAGGAGCAGAGCAGAGCCGCCGCAGGCGCCCGCAAGGCAGGCAGACCTGCGACCGACCTGCAGCACAGGCCCGGCGGCCCGCTGGTGTGGTAGACACACCACCCCAATTGGAGGAGGGGCACAGCTGCCGCCCGCGCCTGCAAGGTAGGCAAACCTGCAACCTGGAGAACAGGCCCAGTGGCCCGCCAGCGTGGTAGACAGATCACCCCTATTGGAGGAGGGGCCCAGCCGTTGCCCGCAAGGTAGGCAGACCACGCGACCTGGAGAAGGGGCCCAGCGGCCCGCCGGCGTGATAAACAGATCACCCCAACTGGAGGAGGAGCACAGCCGCCACCCGCCCCTGCAAGGGACACTTTGCAACTATACAAGAGCAATATAAATATACAGGGGGAAAATTCAATAACACAACAGTTTCACCAAGCAGAAAGAAATGCGAACAGTATGAAAAGACAAGGAAAGAAAGGACCACAAGAAA